ACTGGCAGATTTTTTTTTTTTTTTTAAACCAACGTGCCTGTTGGTGGGCAGTACTGACAGTGGACATCACTTGTCAAATAGGTTTGCTGCCTGTAGCTTTCAGAGATTCCCTGCACACAGACTCTGGAAAGCTTAATTACAGAGCGCAGGTTTTCTTTAATTCAGTTCAGTGGGGTCGGAAAAAGTCAATGCTTCTGCAAATGAGAAGAGACTCCTACAGAAATGCTTCAGATCTTTTAAAAAGATGATGGGTTTAGTAGTTTAATAGGTGTTAACACTGATACTAGAAGTTCCTCTGGCAGCTACGTTTTTAAGCTTTGTAAGCAATTGGGTTTGAGGATAGTTTATTTTGTAAAATGAACAAAAGACTTATTCCTTTGCTAACTAAGAGTTTAAAATTTTAGGAAATCATCTTTTTGGTCACAATCCAAGCCCTCCTTTCCAGGTTTTGTTCTTTCCCAGTGTAGGGGATGCATCTGGCTTCATCACTCAGCATTAAGAATCTTGGCTATTTGACTGATAGCCAGAGATACTTAGACTTTAACACTGTAATTGTATGCGCTAATGAAAATACTGGCAATTAATTCTGTGCACTTACTTTCATTGAAGGGAAGCATGATGGGACTGTAAAAGGCAGAGAGTACTTCCACTGCAAACCACGACACGGTGTCTTTGTTCGTCCTGGGCGCCTCAGCAAAGCACCAGCTTCCGCAAGGAAATGGAGTAGCACTTCACGGTCTCAGGCATCTTCCGCGTCAGAGAAACGGAAAAGTCCTGCGCTTCAAGGCTCATCATCCGCTCCCAAGACAGGAGGAGAAGTCCTCTGCCATTCAGGAGACGCGGCGGCTTCTGCTTTTTCTAGGAAACAGGAAAACAGGAAATCTTGGATTAACTGAACTGCAGTATTTTTGCACTTACTACACGCGTCGCTGTGTAGAAAACTTTATGGATTTTTGAAGCTATTGTACATTTGAATCTGTCCATATGGAATGTGTATTCTCCAGAGTCCTCGACTTAATTCTCTAATTTTTTTATAAATAATATATATATTATATATA